TAATATTGCAAAGGAATCATTTCTTTTTTAATCATAGGCGAATAGCCTCCTACTTTATCTTGATATTCTGGCAGCATGCTAATTTGACAATGAACAAGGGCGCTAGTGGAGAAACCGTTAGCGTTGACTCGATGGTATTTGTCTACTACGTCTTGCAAATTTTTACAGTCTATATCAAAAGTGTAACGCATTTGAAATGGAAGAGGCTTTAGCTGAGCACCTCCGTATTGTCCGTTTTCATCAAAAAAGTACACACATCCATCCAATTCTGAATTTATGTTCAATTCGTTCATTTTTTTTTCAAAATAATCTGTATCAATGGCATACCTTTGAGTACCGTTAGTAGACATTCCGCCTCTGAGACAATCTTCAATCATATCGTGATGTTCTTGAGTAGGAGGGTATTGAATTTGTATCAAACTTAACGTAGAATTAAATTTGCTAGCGTAACCAAAAATGCTAATGTGACTGAGAATGTGAAATTTTGTAGATTGATAAGTCCTTTCGTCAAAATCCAACATGACTGCTCCCAAAACAACTGTATCTAAAACGGCATAAATTTCTAACAACGGTCTCAACGTTTTCAATTTTAAAAAATGCCACAATTTTTTTACACTTTCATAGGGCACTCTAATTTTTTCTATTTCATCGCTTAAACTCTTTGATCTCATGAGTAGGTTTTCTGCGAACATTTCTATGGGAGGAAAAGATTTGTATTCAATGTCTAAAAGTGCATCGTTAATTTGCTCATAAGGAAACAATGTTTTTTTGATGAAACAATGTTGAAAGTCTTCGCATTCACACAAATTGTCAGTGCTGATGTGAGGAAAAATGGGATACAAGTAGTGCAACATGCTGTTGATTATTTTTTTTTGAGCAGGTTGAGACAACATAGAACTAGCTTGTTCCAGAGAACAGTTGAGCAATCTTAAAGTATCCACTATTTGTATATGTTTACCGAAAGAAATTATTCGAACTTTGCTTGTGCTTTGAGCGATAACAAACATATCTTCAAAAGAGGTATATTTGAGAAAGGCTTTAAAAGGTTCATCTTCGCTATCACCAGCGCTTTCGTATAACGGTAAATCTATGAATTTGCGCAATCCTTCTACTATCATGATTCGATTATCGAAAGAGGCATTGTGCGCAAAAATAGGGCAAGTCAGATGAGCGTTGCATCTACCGATGTTTTTATTGCATGAATCATGCGCCAAACCGTAAACATTTCCAGAAAAATGATCGTGATCGATGACTAAAAAATCTTCAAACAAAGACAGAAATAATTGGCAATGTATTAATAATCGCTCACGCTTTTTATCTTCACGGCACAATTCTTTTAGAGTGACTTTATTTTCATATTCACAGTCGAAAGGTTGGAGCATGCATTCGTACCATAGTTGTACAGCAGGATGCTTTAATTTAGAAAGAATGTGCAAAAACGTTACTTCGTCTTTGATACCCATTCCAAATTCATACTCCCAATCGACTCTCATTTCCTCCATACATTTTTTGAATAAGTGGATTAAAAAGTGTTTGATTGATAACAATTCAATAGGGTCGTTTTCAAACCACACTCTTAATTCGTGCTCGTTTAAAACCAGGGAACCAAAATATTTCATCAAATCAATCAGTTCATAGGAATTCGTTCTAACATAATCGCTCAATAAGCCGTTTTGAGGATTTTTATATTTGAAAGCGTCCCACCATCGGCATACAACATAGTAAAGAGTAGACACGTTTAACAAGTCTGTTTTAATTTTTTCAGCGTCGTGTTTTAACAAATAATTTTGCACTTGTAAATTTAATGCAAAAAGCTCTAGTTTACTTACTTTTTGAAATATGAAATTGATAACTTGTATTCGCTGATCGTTGTAAGTAGTTCTTATTTCGTTGTGATCCAAATATTCCAATTCTTCTTCCAACTTAAATTTTAAAATATCGCTTTGAGCAAATTTGTCTACGGCATAACGGCAAACAGTGCACAAAGGCTCTGCTTTTTCCCATACCAGAATTCTTTCTTCAGGTGACAACTTTAAATGTTGATGTTTTGGAAGCAAAACTTTGTAAGCAAATCGCACTAAGGTATCAGCTAGCACGATCAAATCATAAACACGCAACTCATTTTTTTTGTTTTCAATGGTCGGATCACTAGGATCAAGTTTTAAATATAACAGCTCTCGATGCGTAAAGTGCAATGTAGACACTTCCTCATATAAAGCGCTTGGTAACATTTTTAAAGGATTTCTTTTTAAACTATCTATAGTATTTTCGTAGTAATAAATCCATTGCGTAATAGTTTTTCCTCTTTCGTCTCTACCAAAGCATTCCAATGCTAAATTTTCATCTATACATTGAATAACGACGCTATGACAAAAGTACGAAATAGAAGAGACGGATTGAACTAGTTTTGTTTGTCGAGAATCATCTGGAGTGTTGCTAGTTTCACAATCATAGGTAATAAAAAAGGGAAACAAATTTCTACTGCGATTCATAAATTCTTTTTGACCTTCTTTATATTGTCTTGTGTTAGAATAGGTAAATTTATTTTTTTTGTAATAACCTTCGCATTCGTGATGGGCACTATTGACAAATTTTTCATTGCATTGCGTGCAATGTTGAAAAGAACTACCGTGAAATTGAGTGACGTATCGTTCGTTGATGATAGACACAGCGTGAAAATGATCTTTTTTTTCTACTATAGCCAATTTAAGAGTGTTGACGCTTTTTTTGTGTTCGTTATGCTTTTGTCTTTCTTCATCGTTAACAAAATCGCGATAACAATTTCGTTCTTCTCTCGTTATGTTTTTACTTTCATAAACCACTTTGAACAATTCCGTTAAACTGGATTTGTATTGAGATTTATACTTGGGATGCATTAGTCTTATTCTTTGAGGATTTTTATTAACTGCAAACAATTTGATGTTGATACGATCAAACTCGACATCGTAAACAAAAGATTGCGTCAATTGTATCAAATTTTCAAACGACATGTGTTTACATTTTTCTCTGAGTTCCATTAATTTTTTTTCCCATTGACCCTCATTCTCATGTTCGTCGCGTATAACATGCTCAATAATGTTGTCTTCCGAATAAAAATCTCTACCGTTTTTGTCGAGAACGTTTTTGTTCCATTCCTCAATCGTTGTCACTTGCCATTTTCGAATAAGTAAGGAAATTAAAAAAGAGGAATAAAAACATAAGCCAGGATCAAACAAGCTACTATAGTCTAACAGCATCTTATATTTTCTGCTAAAAGTTGCAATGTCATTTATTACACTTCCTTTGTCATATTTTTTACAATAGTTTTTTTGTACGTGTTCGCTGCTCAGTTGTATAGGTCTATTCCATTCACCTCTCCATTCGTTTGCAAACATTTTGTATACAATTTCATTATTTTGATAAGACTTTTTAATTTTTGATTTTTGTTTAACCTCATTTGTTTCATTTGATTGCCTAGCTTTTCGTTTTTCAGCTTTTTGCAATCTATCTTTTTCTCTTATTTCCATCAATTCTTTTAAAGACATCTCAGAGCGTTTTTTTTTCTTTTTTTTCGATTTTTCTTTTACCTCTTTTAACTGTTTTGGTTCTTTGCTTTTATCTGCAACTCTTTGCAATCTTTTTCTTATTCTATCTTTTTCTCTCCTTTCCGTCAATTCTTCTAACGTCATTTCAGCTACTCGTTTACCACCCATTTCATAATTTCTTAATTTCATCATACTTTTATCAGATAAATGACTCAAACTTTTTACTCGAAAACTACAAAGACGTATAATTCTCCACCCACTCTCATTTTCCAAAATATTAAAAGCGGCCGACAAATTGCAATTTTTTAAATACTGTAAATGAACTAGACCTTCCAAAGGTTTGATAAAATAAACAGGCGATGTATAATATCTTTTTAAGACTTTTACCATACCTTCTTCTATAGATTTTCCACATAACATTGCAAAATTAAATCCTAACAAAAAATTATTAAAAACATCATGAAATGTCTTTGCATTTTTAAATTCTTTATTAAATCCAATTTCTGTCATTTCATTAATATCAAATACAATTTCATCAGGTGATTGCATTTGATGATCTAATTCCGTTTCTTCTACAATATCTTCATCTTTATATTTGTCTTTTATGTAATAAAGTGTTTCTCTGTAAACCGATTTATTGCTCAGTTGTTCTTTTTCCTCGTAGACTTTGTAATTTTTCATTTTTTTTTTTGAAAAGGCTAAAAAACAAAAAAAGATAACCTTTTAAAATAAAATAAACAACCACTTTTAAAAAATCATATTATACTTATACAAAAAAAAAATATTATATTATACAAAAAAAGTATTTAACTTAAAAAAAAAAAAAATTATGTATTACATAAAAAAAAATGCACAAAAAACATTATAAAAGGCGATATAGAAAACATAAAAAACATAGAGGTAAAGGTATTATGTTACCGTTGGCATTAGGATTAATGGGTTACAAACTTGTAAAAAAACTATTAAAAAAATGAAACACAAAAGAGTTAAAAAACATATTAGACATAAAAGAAGAAAAAAAACATTAAATAAAAGAAAAAGAATAAGAGGTAAAGGAGATTTTGATTCTATTATAAATAATCTTAGTTTAGGTGAAAAACAAAAAATCAGAGAATATGTAAATCAAGATTCTTCAATAAAAAGTTATATAAATCTAAACAAATCACAATTTGAACCGAATTTAATTAAAATTATTGGAATTTAAAAAAATAAAAAAATATGAAACGCAAAAGAGTTAAAAAATATCATCAAAAAAAAAGAAAAAGAGTTTACAAACGTATACGAGGTAAAGGAGAATTGATTGATATTATGGGAAAATTGTATAATGGTTATAACGCTTATAAAAATATGGACGAAAATCAAAAATTTCAAGTAGATACTATAATACGTCAGCAAGGAAACAAAATGAAGATAATTCAACCTTTATTACCTTTTGGTTTAGGTAATAGGTTATAATAAAAAAAAAAAAAAAAAATATTATTTAATTTTTAATTGCTCATAAAAATTCAATACTTCTGGATTAGCAGTTATACATTTTAAAATGTTCTTCAACATGTTAACATCAGGATGTATCATGTAGAGATCTTCTAACGAACAAACTCTAGATAACGAAACATAATAAAGCGAAGGATCGAAAGCCGAATGCGAAAAATCGACAACTAATTTTTTTAACGTACTACCTTGAGCTTTGTGAACTGTTATAGCAAAAGCCAGTTGCAAAGGCAAACCGTTACGAGTTGCGATGATTTGATTTTTTGAATCAAGAATATCTTCTTTCATTATTTCAATAACGATTTCGTTGTCTTTAAATAAAACGTTAATGCTATTTAAACCAACATGAGTTACAACACCAACTGCACCATTACATAGACCTTCTTCGACGTTGATATTTTTTAATAACATGACAACGGCTCCCAATTTGACTGTCACTTCGGTTGGAATTTGAAACGAATTTACTGTTATATTTTTATCTAAAATTTTATCTTTAGCTTTGAAACATGTAGCTTTACCCTTTAACTCGGACATTTTGATTTCGTTATATTTAAAAACGTTTCCTCTTAAGAAAAATAATCTAGGATAACTTTTGTCAATGAGTTGATCATTTGTAAAATGTCTCTTTGTTAAATATTCTATAGATGCATCGCTTACTTTTCCCAATCGAATTTCATTTAAAGCATTAAAAAACAGAGGATCTTCTTTTTGACGAAAACATTTTGTCAAAACCACAGAACGTTGCATGTATTTTTTCCAAATTTCAGATTTAAATATATAATCACCTTCGACAGGTTTTAATTGTAACATATCTCCACACACAATAATTTGCATACCACCAAAAAGTTCTTCGTTTTCGATTCGTATTTTGCACGCTAAATCATGCAATAAATCAAATGTTTTTGCATTGATCATTGATATTTCGTCAATAATTAAAACGTCTGTATTTAACCATCTTTCCTTCACCTCTGGTTTCATATGCTTTAAATAAAATTCGCATTTATTTCTACCCACACCGATTCCAGCAAAACTGTGAAGAGTCATGCCACCGATAAGATGTGCAGCTGTACCAGTACTAGCTGTAATTTCAATATTTTTATAAAGTTGTTCACTAGTAGCTAATTTGTTCAATAAATAACTTTTACCACATCCTGCTCCTCCTGTAATAAAAAAATTATATCCTCGATCGAGCCATTTAAATGCCAAAACTTCATGTGCAGATGTTTCCATTTTATAAATTTTTTTTTTTAAGTAAAAGGAAAGTCTTTAAAAAAAATAAAAGAAATTGTTATCATTCAGAGAATAAATACATGAATAAATATTTACTAAAAAATATCACGTTGGTTATAACAAAAAGTTCACATTTTATTTTTCTCTCATGTCGTTTTATATTATCATCTATTTCTAAAAGCATTTGTCGAATTTCATCTGAATTCAAATCAAAATTGTTTTTAATAATTTCTTCATTGTTTTTACAACTATTTATATTCATTCTAAAAAACAAAAAAAAGAAAATTAAAAAATTAATAAAAATAATCAATAACCTTGTTCATTCTTTTTGAAATATTTAAAAAAAACGTACGTCTAAAACATTTATAAAATTCATTATAAAATATTTTAAAATCACTATGACTTAAAAAAGATGTTACATTTTCGTCTATAAAAATAGAATCAATTTTTATTTTAATTACTTTCAAAGCAACCAAAATAAAAGTTAAAGGAATGTCTTTTAATTTTTCTTTTAAAAAAAAATCCCAATTATAATCATAACACTTTTCACGACATACTCGTTTCCAAAATAATAAAGTTTTATCCACAAATACGACTCTATCCATTAATTCATTCAATGTAAAAGGGTGAACATGATAAAATTCCAAACAACGATCCATCAACAAATTAAATGTTAACTCTGCATGTGCTATTTCTGGATCTTCTAATATTTGATCTAATGATCTTTGCACTATAGCATTATTCATTTTTTTATTCAGAATTCTTTTCTTTCAATTTGCGATTTACTTTATCTAACCAATCCGAACGATAAGTAGAACGATATTCTGATGATGTTGGTATTTGTTTTTCTACTAACCATTCGTATATATCTCCCGATTGCCAATAATTAAAAAAATCTTTAAAAGGTTTGTTATAATAATCAGGAAATTTCTTTTTTAACTCTTCCACAATAATAAGAGCGTCGCTAATCGGTAACCAGTCTTTTTCAATTGTAATAAAATATAACCAATCTTTATCGTAAATATGTAACCAATCTTTAGAATATTTAGCAATAGTATAAATAGCAAAATTGTACAATCTCTTGTGAATATCCTTTATTGTAAACACAGGTACATAATCAGAAAATTTGTTCCATCGATGCATAAATAAACCAAACCTATTTTTAATGCATTCATTTTCACATTTAATACTTTTAATAGCTTCATATAATGATGAATTTTTATAATGATTTTCTTCTAAATTCAAATCTGCTAATTTCTGATCTCCATCATACTAAAAAAAAATATGTTTTTTTATTTAATACAAGGAAAAAAATAAAATTTGTAAAATTTCACTCATCTTATTTCTCATTTTTAAAATGATAGTTTGATTTTGTAAATTTTTTATTATTTTTAGATCATCATCAAAATTAACACAAAAATTTTTCTTGGCTTCCTCTAATTTTAATGTTAATCTTTCACAACTCAAATTTGCTTGTTCTGATAATTCAAAAACAGTTCTCCTAAGCTGAGTACTAAACAAAATACGTTCCATATTCGTATTATGACTTTGTGTCATTGCTTTTTTTATTTCCTCTATAAAAAAGTCAAAATCTCTTTGATAATTTTTTAAATCTTTTTCAGGATGTAAATCGCATTGAAAAAAATGATAAATTGATTTTACTTGACTGAAATGAATAAAAGGTTCTCCAGGATCTTTATCTCCACAAATACAAGTATCTTCAAACTCGTGCATGCAATAGGAACAATTTTTACGTAATTTATGCAATTCCATTATTTATATTGATTCTAAAAAATGAAAATTCATTTTTTTTTAAAAAAATATAAAAATAATCATTTTAAATTACATTAAAAAAATAATAAAAAAAGGAATAACAAACAAATTTTTTTTTTTTCAACTAAAAAGTCAATCTTTTATTAAATATAGCATTATTCATTTCAATTTTAAATTCTGCAAAAAAAGCGTTTTTATATTTTTTGTTCATTAAATCATCAAGACGTTCAAACATGGAAAACCATTTTTGATTTTGTACCATTAAATCTTTAAATATGATATCGTCAAATTTGAAACCGCTAGCAAATAATTGCAATGTCCATTCGTAAAATACTTTACCCATAAAATTATAAAGAGTTTGAATTCTATCGCATTCCGTAATAACAGCGTCAATAAATTCTATACCTTGCAATTCTTCTTTTATTAAATCAAAATATTCTTTCCATTCACCTTCCAAGTAAGCAAATATAAAGATAATATCTTCAACATTACCATCCATTTTGAATACGGATTGAAATTCTTTTACCAAACTTTGAATTTGTATATAACTATTTATATAAAGACTCATTTTGTTTTTTTAATATCTAAAAAAAAATCAAATGATATAACTATTCTTTTTTTATTTTTTTTTAAAAAAAAAAATTTAACATTTATAACACTAAAAAAAATATATGTTTATTTATTTTTATTACATTTTTAAACATTCTTTACAAAAAAGTTTATTTTTAGATTTAGGAAAATAATCAATCGTATAAAAAATATTACAATAACTCATTTTTGTACACTTTTTATTTGTTCTAAAATAATTTCATAATGTAAAAGTTTATTATGAAACATGTCCAACATTCGTTTACTCATATTTAGTTCTTCTTCAATGTCTTTTTGATTACTTAACCAATTGATGACTTGTTGAATTTTAATAGCATCTTGATCCAAATCCATAAAATTGATTACGTAATTTGATTCGAAACCAACAAATTTAATTCTATACGCCAATGTACTTTTTAAATATTTTTCAATATCATTTTTATTTAATTCATTCATTTTTTTTCTATAAACATAAAAAAAGAAATTATGATAAATATTATGATCAAAAAAAATAATGATTAAATAACAAAAAAAAAAATATATTAAGTTTAAAACAGAATAAAAAAAAGTCAAAATAAAAAAAAAAACATTTATTTCATTTTCAATTTTTACAATAATTTATTATAGGAATAAATTCATCATTTTCTTTGCTCAAATTTTCAAGACTGCTCATTTTTTGTTTTTTCTTTGTCATATTAGTATGTTTCGCAAAACATTTACCACAAAAAATGTTTAAACAATGAGGACATTTAAATGATAAACTATAGATTAACACTTTGCAAATTGCACATTCTTTAACATCATTTCTCATTAACTTGATAATTTTTCGATAGTGTTCACATTCATTTTTGGCTTTTCTATAATGTTTAAATAAAAATCTTTCTCTCGCTGTAAAATTTTTCAATTTGTTGTCGTTCTCTTTAGGTTTCTTTTCTTCATTTTCATTTTCACTTTCTGTTTCATTCTCAGAATCTACAAATATGTCTTTGACTTCATATTCGTTTTCTTGTATTTTATTTTCTTTAACGTTTTCATAATTATCTTCATATAATTGAATATTTCTTTCAGAACTCATTTTTTTTTATAAATAATATAAAAAAAATAATGCTAAATGTTGAATGTACCAAACCCTATTTTTTTTCATCTATTTATATTAACATATGACGTCATAGCAGATTAAAAAAACGTCAATGAAAGATCAAAGTTCAAAGGAAATCGTTTGATTACTTGATCAAAGTTCAATCTATTTTTAAATTCTATTGATTTAAAATATAATGAGTTATACCGGTTTTTTTCTAGTTTTTTTTGAAAAAAAAATATTATATAAACATAAGAACTTTGTTAAAATATTTTTATTTAACACAAAAAAAATGGAAACAGAGTTTACTGTTGGTTATTGTACAGAAATTGTACAATATGTCAAATTCCCAGAATTGGCAGCAGCTACATTATGGAGTATAGACTTAAAAAAAGAGGAAATTAAGGAATCCCAATATAGCAAACTTTTTGTATCTCCAGTAGCTCAATTTAATTTCGGTAAAAGAGAATTAGTATATTCTACAAAAATGGAAGAACAAAGTATATTACTTCCATGGTACTGGCGAACAAAATGTTCAGATCACGCTAATAAAAAATGGATATTTTTTTATAGAGCTGAAATAAAACTGAGTAAAGATGATACAAGTTTTGCTACTAAAAAAGATTCTGAATATACGTTTCAAGTCATCATCTCATCAGATGTTCAAAAATTGACAAAGAAATTTTTTGAATCGCTGTTACCTACGTTAGACAAATATCAAAACGAAGGTTATAAATATGCACAACAAAAAAACAAAATGATTCGTTATAGTCAAATCGCTAATTGCACAACAGTGAGACAACTAAAAGACGATGAAGATATGTATGTTCTCGAACAAGATCGTTTGGCATCTTTAGAACCTGTTATTGTGACGTTAAAAAAAAGCGGTGTAAAACGAACTTTTAATATAAAAGAAGTTGCCAAAGATTTAGCTTCTAAAGAGACATTAGAATATAAAAAAGAAAAATCAAATGTTAAAAATGAAGATGATGAATAAATAAAAAAATTATAATATATTTTTTTTTTTCTAATTGTAAAACCACAAAAAAAAAAGAAAATATGAATTTTTATTTTATAAAAGATACACCTACTCTTTTTTTTTATTTTTTTTATTTTTTTTGAAAAAATGATGACGTTTAAGAAAAAAAAAAAGTATAAATAGCGCGACATAAATTTAATAAAATTCTTTTTTATCATTTCGCAATGACGAACGTTCAAGTAGAACAATCATTAGAAAAAATAATATCAACGTTTCAACCGTTGTACAGTCAGTTTAATCATACGCGTGATACTTATGAAACATGGCTCATTTTAATAAAAGAACATTTAATTAAATGGGATGTTGAATTGCATTTATCCGAAAATGAAATGATAGATTTGTATTATGTGTTTATTATTAAAGATTACGAAAATAAAAAAAGTCAATATTTTAGCAAAGGCTATCGCGAATATTTTGAATTGGCACCTGCATTTACTGTAAGCAAAGATTATAGTTATTATAAAGACTTGTGCAAAACCGTCAATAACGCTTTTTTAACCATAATAAACATGTTTACGTTTA